ACCACGCACGGAAAAAACACGCAACATTGCCGTTTTTTGCGAGACAGGATATGTGGCCTCTGCTGTAGACGTCTGTGGAAGAAGCGCAAAACAAGTTGGTATACAGATCGGTTGGCTGCCACACGGGAAAAGGTAGGAACTTTGCCGCGCGACCTTGGCAAAAAGAAACGCAAAGGGGCTTGTCGGCTTACATCGCAAACAAAAACCTTTCTTTACACGAAACCGTTGACGATTTTTTCCGCCGGCAAAACGAAGAACGACGTCCACAGGATCTTGCTGCCGCAGAAACCACGCACGGAAGAACACACAACCTTCCCGCAACTGTTACAACATTGCTGCCTTGCAAGACAGGATACCGGATACCTGGCCTCTGCTGTAGACGTTTGTGGAAGAAGCACAAAAGAGGCTGGTTTACGGATCGGTTGGCTGTCGTGTGTCGGCTTACAAGGCAAAATAAATATCGTTCTTTACACGGAACCACTGACTAATTTTTCCACAGACCGAACGAAGAACTTCGTCCCCAGGATCTTACTTCCGCAGAAACCACGCAATGAGAACACACACACACACACACACACACAACTTTCCGGCAACTGAGTTAATCCGACCCTCAACAGCAGCACAACGATATTGGGGTAGGATCGCCGGGCAAGGCAAGGAAACCTAAAAGGGAAGCCCAGCCCGAAGAGGAACACAAGCTGCAAGCGTACATCTTTTCTCATTACTTGAGCCAAAGATCATGTCATTGGCACATTAAGCTGCACAGTCAGACATGTTACCTATACAAGGACAGGGAACGTCGTATTCGACCAACTAACTGTTACAACATTGCTGCTTTGCAAAACAGGATACCTGACTTTTGCTGTAGATGATTGCGGAAGAAGCACGGAGGGTTGGTATACGGATCGGTCGGCTGTCGCACGGGAAAGACGGGCAACTTTGCCGCACAAACAGGGCAAAAAGAAAAGCGAAGGAGTCGGCTTACATCGCAAACAAACATTTTCCTTACACGGAACCATTGACAATATTTCCGCAAACCGAACGAAGAACGTCGTCCACAGGATCTTGCTGCAGCAGAAACCACGCACGGAAAAACACACAACTGTTACAGCATTGCTGCCTTGCAAGACAGGATACCGGATACCTGGCCTCTGCTGTAGACGTTTGTGGCAGACCAGGCGCCCAAACAGGAAACATTAAGGGAACCCAGCGGGAGCTCAGGCCCTCTGCTGCGGCCCGCCCGTCCAACCCAGGAGCCCAGAAAGGAAACAGGAAGGAAACCCAATTGGCAGCCCAATCCCTTTGCCGCGGCCCACCCATCCAATCCAGGAGCCCAGAACGGAAACATGAAGGGAGGAAGGGAGGAGAACGGGAGTCCAGGTCCAACCCAGCAGCCCAGAAAGGAAACAATGAAGGGAGCCCAGGTCCTTTGCCGCAGCCCACCCGTCCAACCCAGGAGCCCAAAAAGGAAACATGAAGGGAAGTGAATGGGAGCCCAGGTCCTTCGCAAGGAAACATGAAGGGAGCCCAATAAAGCCCCAGGTGCCCAGAAGGGAAACATGAAGGGAAGTGAATGGGAGCCCAGGTCCTTTGCCGCTCCAATCCAGGAGCCCAGAAAGGAAACATGAAGGGAGCCCAGGTCCTTTGCCGCGGCCCACCCGTCCAACCCAGGAGCCCAGAAAGGAAACATGAAGGGAAGTGAATGGGAGCCTAGGTCGACCCAGGAGCCCAGAAAGGAAACATGAAGGGAGCCCAATGGGAGCCCAGCCAGTTTGCCGCGGCCCAGCCATCCAACCCACCGCGGCCCACCTTTTTCTGAGGAGAGAACCCCAAACCGTACCTGTTTGGGGAAATACGGTTTTACACTTTTACGCTTTTACGCTTGTACGCGGAGCTTGTCTGGTCCAAAACACTGGCGAGCACCACCGAAAAACGTAAAACGCGAAAAACGAATTTCACCTTTTACACTTTTACGCTTTTACGCCCACCCGAACTACACGGACCCGCTGAGCAGAACAACGCCCGCAAGCCAGCTTAGAGATTTTGGGTGTGTCTCTTGAAAACAAGCAATCAATAATTCTGCCTATGTGCTAGTCTTCTGTTTGCAACGGGCGCTGCAAAGCCAGGTCCCAATTGCCTCTTACTCTTTTTCCTACCATGGTTCATGAAAATCTTGCGAGTGCTGTCCCGTTGCTGTGCTCCTACGAGCACGTTTGAATTTAGGTCGTGGGTGCAAGCACAATGTGGTCTCGCGCCTCTTGCTGCAGAGCTGGGAAGTCACTCCGGAGCCCTTCCTCAGCTTCAAATGCGTCACAACTGCGGCAATCCGTTACTCGAGACAACATGCCAGACTGCATTGCTCCGCGCAGTCTGCTCCGGCATGAAGCCCGAAACCTTAACCTCAAATTCTGGTAGCATCCCTGAACATCCAGTCCACCTCAAAATAGCAATCCCCAAACTGAAGTTGGCCGCCACCCCCGACCCTGTATCTTTCGAAAATCGGCCTCACACGAAGAAAGGTCGAGGACAGTGCCACTAGCACTCAAAACAGCATCTGGCAGGTGTCTGCTTCCGCAGCGCTCAGAGACTTCTTAGCGGGCCTCGCAGCTTTGCTCACGGCCTGAGGAGGCTGAACGCTGCCATGGTCGGATTCTGGCTTTCAGCAGTCGAGGGTCAGGATATCCTCATTACAGCTACAACGGATGCAGCTTCTCCTGACATTTGTCTGAATGGTGAGGCCTCTGTACTGTTGTAGCCCGAGATGTCCTGAAGGCAGCGAAAATGCTGAATCCCGGGAATTACCAGGCATCGGTTTTCGTTTGGAGTCCCTGTCTCGAAAATGCAGCTACGGTGCGGCATCAACAGTTCAACAACGACAAAAAAACTGCGCAGAACCATTGAAACATCACTGGCAATGACAATAGCTCAAAATTGCCAACAACAAGAAGGCTAACGATAATGAACGTGATAAGTGTCATCGGAGTATCATCCATGCCAAGAATCTAGAATGCACTGCAAGATGGACCTGCCGACCGAATCGGATCCCGACTCTCAAAGACCGTCTCTCCTTAAAGGATCGGCCTTTGACTTCGATGTCGAGTCGAAAGTTTGGAGTTTCGGAGCAAAAACCTTCCAAGAGCCAACCCTGAGTGGCCCGGCCCTCGCTCCCACGCCGGGCGTCTCCTGTTCGAGGCCGACGACACTGCATCCCGGGACAAGTCGAATGGGCACCAAAGGAAGGGACATCTCACTCTCTTCCTGACAAGGAGCTTCGAAGAGCTTTGTATAATGCCACTGCCTCGCCTGTTCGTCAGCACGCCCGCCACGACAGCTGTTGTAGCCGCTGCTGTGAGCGTCGGCTGCACAACTTCCCCGATGCAGGTCGATTGTTCCACAATCAGCCCAACCTACGAAAGAGAGTCACGGAGCACAGCACCCAAATCACCCCCACTGCTCCGAACCTCCATCCATTCTACGGGCCGATGCGCTTTGTCAGTACCCAGATCGGCCTCGAGCTGAAGTTGCCCAGGTCTGCTGCTGCGGGCCGTTACGCCTTCAGTCAAAGGTGCAGGGCCGAGCTGTCCAAGCGGGGAAACCCAAGCCAAGCACGTCGGAGCCTGACCACAGGCAGCGGTGGTGCTCCCAAGGCACATGCCTGGCAACGCAAGGGTCGATACCAATACCCAGCAGCCTCATGCAAACGGTGAGCGGCTTCCCGATCTGTAGATCCGCGGCCTTTGCAAGGAGCGCCATGGCAACTAAGGCCGCTAAACAGTATGTTTGTGACTGGATGGTGTTGGCACATTCGGATGGAGTCCGCTCTTTGCATTCGGAAACTTTGTCGGCTGCCGTTGCTGTCGAAGCGAGTAAAAGTCTGATGAAAATAACAACACACCAAAATGAAAACGATACTTGTCTTGATCTTCCAGCTGTCTGTTGGGTGAATGCCCCGGTCCTAAACGGCTCCCTGACCTGGATACTCATTCAATTCAGACTTCGTGAAAAGGGTCCAGTTGCAGCAATTGAAGCAAATCAATCCTGCCCATATTCATGTTCGTCGCTACCCATCGCAATCCTCACGAAATCGCTATAAGTGCCCGCAAGCATGCCAACACGGAGCACCGGTAGATGGTTCACCTGAAAAGCTGACGAAACCCCATCGAAAGCCCTGCTGCCGGCTCATTTTGAAAGGCCCAGGCGCCGAGCGAAGGGATTCTGGCACCTGGACAGCATGAGAAACAACAACATCATCATCGTCATCACCACTGGCTTCCGTCACGGAACCCTTTGCTTTCACGAAGGGGCGGGTTAGATAGCCGTACTTCGGTCTCATGGCCGATTGTAAGCGGAGCTAGAACATGTTGACGCTGCCGCAACCTTTTTTCAATTTTGCCTACTCCATTGCCGGATAGATCCTGCAGGTTCCCTGACGCATGGAAGCCCTGGAATGTTTCGGGTGAGATGATCCCGAAAGCTTGTGTTTAACAGCGAAAACGTCGTGAGTGATCGCTGCAAGCCTCGACTTCCCGTCGGGCCGGTCAGCGACAGTGGCCTGGCAAACTGAACAAAAATAATCTTTAGCCAGCATCAGCACCACGAAAACTAATTTAGAATAAAAGTGACAATGCTAGCCGCAATGATACCACAAATTCAGCCCGCACCAGGATCAGTGTCTGGATAGACAATCGCGAGTCGCAAGTACTGTCCAAATGCTGTTTCTCAAGGGCTCGGCAAAGCACCAAGCTCCTTGCATGCCTTGCCACTGCCACGGCCCACCTGCGAGGCTTGCTGGTTTGGTAGTCTCTTTCAGCTGCTAGTTCGAAGTGGCTGGGTGTGCGACCCGCGACCCTTGCCAACGATCATTCCGCTCAGCTCAGACGGACTTTTCAGTATCCAGGCCCAAGGTGAACATCACTAAGCGCAAGCTTCACTCGCCAGCGTCTTCGGCCCTGGCTCATACTTCGCGGACTTGCGACGAAGTGCAGCGAGTTCTGGGGCCATCATTCAAACTCAACTTCGTAGGCTGGATAGACCTGGGCATTGTGGAATACTATGTACTCAGTTTGCCCCGGCTGATCTGTTGTGTCTGTCTCGTGCCTGGTGTGACCCTCCGACCTCTCACCGTAATGATAGCTGTCTGCATACTCACCGTCGGTGAAGGCTGGCCGGTCCGTCAGCTTCTGTGCGTCGTTGCCGAAAGTGCGTCCAATGTAGCCTAGCTCAACTCGGCATAGAAAGATCTTTTTATGGCTGGCGATTTGGCATGAATACTTCGCGCGTGTTGCCAGGTAAATTCCATGAGCCGGCCCACGCCGACTGAAATGTGTATCCATGCCTGCTTCCTTCTTGATCTTCTCTGCGGCCTGTGCCGTCGTACCATGCCAGAGGTAGTCAACATTAGCATGGCCCTTGTTTCGGGGCTTCTTCTTGATCAAGGTCTCCTTCGACTTGTGAGCCATCCACAAGGTTGGATTTTGGATGCGACATATTCTCTTGACTGTGCCATCTTTGCTTTGCTTGAAATACTTCTCAATCTGCTTGTACTCGATTCCGTCCTTCCGCAGCTCAATTTCTTTGTAAGTCTCACCCTGCATATCGCTCCATTTCAAGGGAATCTGTTCCCGGCCCTCGGGCTTGCCATCTGGAAGATCTGCCCATTGCTTCTCAATGTCTCGTGCACGTTGACACATATCTTCCTTCGCTTTAGCTGCATCATCTGCCTTCTTTGCTGCACGCCTCGCAGCCTGGACAGCTTCCTCACCCTTCCGGATTTCGTCTTCCAGCCTCTCTCTGATCTCCTGCAACTTCGGCTCTGTCATTCTGGGGCTGGCAAAGTCCAAACGCTGCACACTTCGAACATAGGATGATTTGACCTGAGCTCTGCGGAGGATGCTCTCTGTGTGACAGCTATGCATCTGGTTGCCTTACGCACTCCTTCTTACTCATGCTGGCACTGTAGAAAAACACTCGTTGCAGCACCTTTTTCGGCTAGCACGCGCAAGAACTACTGAGAGCGATGCATTGACCTGCTTCATCTTGTCGAAGAATATCTCGTATTGCGTACCGGTGTGCTCCATCCACAACTTCTTCTCCACATCCACACGATGCTGACCATACTTCGCATCCCGATCCGATGCATGCCACAGCAAGTGCTGGAGCTCAAGGCTGTGAGACACTGTCGCGGAATATAGCACCATGTCATTTGGCTGCTGCAGGTCCGGATCATGCAATTGAACCTTGTCCGTATTTTCAGTCCAAGCCCAGACTACCGGCAAACATGAAGCAGCATTACGGACGTACTCCAGAGGCACTTGTCCTTGAAGATGCTCTTTGGCTTGGGACAGAGCGATTTCCCAAGCTCTGGGACCGCTGCCTGAGGATGCAGCCGTCGCTGCTTCCAGAGTCTTCTTGGCGGACAGAAGCTCTGCCTCGCAAGCTTGCAGTGTATCTTCTCGCGCCTTCTTGTCTTCCTGAGCTGCCTTCAGTTCGCCTTCCAATTGTTGCACCCTCTTGGCAAAATCTGCCCGTGTTTGTTCATGGGCTGCTTCGACCTGCTGCAGCTTCTTCTCGGAGTCTTTCTTGCCCTCTGCAGCTTCTCGAGCTGCCTCCTTCGCAGCTTCAAGATCCTCAGGTCCGAAGTAGCGAGGGCAAGGTTCAATAAACCAGAGTTGTTATGAACTATTGAAGCCCACATGGACACACAATACATGCCCTTGCGACGAGTTGCAAGGGGACCCGATCTACAAGCATATCAAACACCAGAATCTCAGGCAGCGCTCTGATCAATGATCTTATCTGCGTCTGAACACACAACGTATGTCTCATCCATGTGAAAAGCCAAGCATCTTTCTCCTTCTGTTTCACTTGATCTTCAGCCGCGAACAAACGCTCCGCTGCTGCCTGGTCCCTTCTTTGCGCTGCATCTCTCTCCTCATCAAGCGACGAGCGCCACCTCTCTATCTCTTCACGGCTTGTCGTTTGAGATTTTTCCGAAATCTGATTCCAGCTTCAAGATGTGCTCCCGGTGCATGCCTCGCTCTTTGTCGGCCTCCTCACACTTCTTGATGGCATCATCACGCTCAGCTTTTGCCTTTTCTGCTTCGCCCTGCTTAGACTTAGCAAACTCTTCAGCTTGTTGTCTTCTTGCCTGAGCATGCTGAAGCGCTGCCTTGTCTCCACTAGCCGCATCTTTCGCTTTACGCTCTTCCGCAAGTGCCTTGTCCAACTTGCACAGCGCATCGCTCAACTCGGCTTGCTTGCGGATGTCTTCTGACTGCAGCTTGCTTGCAGCCTGCTCATACCTGAGAGCTCGACTTGCAGCTTGTTGTTCGGACTCGGTGGCAGCCTTCAGTGCTTTGTTCGTTGTCTCCAGTTGCCGCGATGTTGTCTCATAATTTGCTTGCACTTCTTCGGCCTTCCGGCTAGCCTCGTCATGGCGGTCCTGCTGTCTCTGAATTTCATCCGCCGCCGTCCTTTGTTGCTTCGCTAGCTGATCCTCCATGCTGTCCTTGAGCTCTTGAATCTCGGAGACGTGCTTCTGTTGAATCTCCTGCATCTCAACCTTGTGTCTGTTCTCGGACTCCGTGGCAGCCTTGAGTGTAGCATGTGTGGTTGCCAGTTGCTGCATTGTTGCCTCGTGATTTGCTTTCACTTCTTCCGACAGCCGGCGGCCAGACTCCACATGCGGGTCCAGTTGTCGCTGAATTTCATCTGCCACCATCCTTCGCTGCTTCTCAATCTGATCTTCCACGGCTTTCTTTGCCTCTTTGATCTCAGAAGTGCAGTTCCGCAGCATGTTCTGTCTGGCCAACCTCGTGTCTTGATAAAATTGACAGCGCATAGCATCAAGCCTCCGAAGCTCTGCCATCCGTTTGTGCATGTTGTAGAGTTGCTGCTTAAGATGCCAATGTTGCTGCCCTCCGGTAGCTTCTAGAGTTTTCAAACCTGCTGCATGCTGACTCATGACAGTCATCGCGCGGCTCTGGCGGCGAGCCAACATCGCCACAGCAGCAAGGCACATCGCTCCTGTCCAACCTCCGAGAGCCTGAAATACATCAGGCCTGTCCTCTGTTGGGAAACCGAACCGGCACGATGTCCTCTCCCACAGGTTGGCTTCAAGCTCTTGTGGCCATGCTGCCAAATCGCACGTAGGGGTAGCATGTCCAGCTTGATTGTCACCCGCACTAGGTAGCATCAGCATTGGTGAACGTGGAAAGCCAAGGTCAGCATTGGTTTCGGGACTGTCTTGAGTTGTGTCTGCATCGCGGCTCGATTGCTGAATTTCTGGAAGCACTTCTGCTGAATCTTCGCAAGGGTCTGACACTGGGTCTGGCACCTCTGCTTCGGCGGGATTGCTGCAGAGCGTGTCTTCGTCACGGGTCGTTTCCGCCGTTGAGACAGTGCCTTTCCTGACACTCAAATAATAGCATGCCAGCCCAAACCCTGCCGTCCCAGCTAAACAAACGGCAGCAAGTCCTGCGGGGTTGCAGAACAGTCTTCGTGACACTGCCTCAGCGGTTTGGGTTTCAGCATCTTGCAGATCCACTGTGGTTTGAGCCTCAGCATGAACTAGATCTCCAATGACGTAGTAGTCTGCAGTTGGCAACGAATCGCCCGATGCACTGCCAGACATTGGCGGGAAGCTGCGCAGTCACTGCACAGGATAGCTATACTAGTCACCGATTACACACAGTGTCGTGCAGGTGTCGCAACCCGGAGTGTCATTCAGAGACGACTACGTGCTACTGCATGTTTTCAGCAGGCGGTACCCTTGAAATCTGCGGCCACAGGGGAGGGACTCATTCACATGAACTGCCTTGGTGCACAAGCACAAGACAAAACATAGGGGTTCTATCCAGCATCGTCCGAGTCCTGCATCCGGGCCTGCAAGACCCGGTGACAGAACCAACAGAGAATCAGAGAACTTCTCATCTGTGGCGCATGGCCTCAATGCAGCGGAAGCGGAAGTCCCGAGTCGGCCCGCGATCCTTACAGGAAGACGAAGGCACAAATCGTGCTCACATGACATCAACGCAGCCAGTTGACGGCACAACCAACTCTTGCATTTCCAAGCTCTGCAAACTCTGGTGCCTTGAACCCGCAAATCTGGACACCCCTTCTCCCTAACTGCAGTCTGAATGCGTACAGCTTGCAGCAGTCGAATACTGCACAGCACACAGACGCTTCCTGCGGAGTCAGGATTTTGAGCTTCGATTTTCGGGATCATGTGATTTGGAGCTTTACGCTTTTAATTGCAGGGTCTTGAGCTTCACCACTGAAATGCTGATTCCAACATCTTCCAACCCATTTCGGGCTCGTACGGTTTAGGTCAGAGTTGTGGGGAGCCACAGCTATCGAAATGGAGGACCCATGTCAAACTACGACATTCTATGCAAGCCCTACATCAGCTTTAATGCAAGGCTTAAATTTGGAGGTTCATGGTTCGGGAGTTTGAACTTAGCCTTAAGCCAAAAATGACCTAGCCGAACCTGTCATTTACAAAACTGGGCTTTACTAAGCCAATCTGAAGCTCAAACCCGGATACCAGATTGCAAGCGACATTGACTCGGAATCCCGAGTGGGTGCAAGCTAGAGGCCCCATGGTCCTCCCGAAATCCGACATTCTCGAAAAGCATACAGTGAGAGCGTGACCCGGAACTTATGGATCACGACAGCACTACCGGGAATGCGCCAATGGACTACCGGGAATGCGGCCAGTGGAGAAGCCACAGAACAGCAAAGATCCAGTTGCGGTGGTGTTCACGGCTTCAGGGTCCGGGATTCACTGCATGATGTGCAGCCTAAACTTTGCAATGGGATGCCTGACAGGTACGAAACCACTGACTTAGCTCCCTCGAACCCACATCAGAACCGCCTGTGAGGTGGGCCAAGCAGCAGACTCTACTTGTGCACTGGTTGTCGAAAGTCGAATGTGCAATGCTGAGCAGGTACTCTTAGACTGACGCTCTGTCGAAGCATGCCACAGGTTCGGGGCGTTCAGAAAGCTCGGCTGTCTGTATTGCTTGGAGTCATGATTCCTGCAACATTTGCAGACAAGGTGTAAAGACATTCCCGACAAGCATGCCAAATGCTGCGGCGACACTACGCGATTCCATGGCACTGCATCAACTGGTGCATTAGCCCTGTCGAGAGCATTCTGAATCAGGCATTAGGCCTGTATCCAGAAACCCTGCAGCCCGTGTGCAAGCTTGCGTAAACTTGCGCATGATACGGTCAACGTCCAAATAGAACCCGAAGCGCGACAAAACCGAACGCGAAAGGAAAAGCTTCTTCAGCAGATCAGATGGCAATGATCGAAAGAGTACCTGCAGTTACTCGGATACACAAAAAGTCAACCAGCGGAACAGAAGTAGCAGTGATTGTCACACCGTGTCCTGTTGTTATAACCGGCATCATCGTTATCATTGCCAGCATTCTTGCCAGCATCATGAACCTCACCAATATGTAATGTATCAATATCATTTGGCAGAGCACTGTCCTTCAAAATACTCATATTCTTGCAAGTAGTAAAATCATTCACATGACTCATTCCGTGACCATGTGCTATCCATCATTACGACGATCGCTGAAACTGCCAACGGCATGCTAGTGATGGTTCTACTGAGACCAGTCATACTCATCACAACATCATCTTCTTCTTGCGCTGTTTACCCACAAAATCGTCGTTGTGGTAGCGGTTGCAATTGTTTTAGTGATTGTGGCAGTAGTGGTACAGTAGCAACAGAATAAGTGGCCGTAGCGGCAGCGGTGGCAGTCGCAGGAGCAGTAGCAGGAGCAGTAGCAGGAGCAGCAGCAGGAGCAGCATCAAGAGCAGCAGCAGGAGCAGCAGCAGGAGCAGCAGCAGGAGCAGCAGCAGGAGCAGCAGCAACCCAGCAGTAGCAGTCGTCGTTGTCGTAGCAGTCGGAGCACCGGCGGTGGCAGTGCAGGTGGGAATACTCCAAAGGATGCAGCCTGCGACGAGAAACAAGAGCAGATTCAAAGGAGTCTACTGTTGGGGTCGAGGCTTTGTGGCTTGTGGGATGAACGGTGGACAAACCATTAGTCCATGCACCTTTTTTCTTCGATCGGTGCCAAGCCAGCAGCGAGCATACCAGGACGCCGTGGCACAGCGACGATGCAAGACGATGGGAAGGAAGCCGTAGCAATCGAACCTCAAAGCCCTTTGCACCGCTCCCGGCACTCTTCAAGGTCACGAACGACGTGCTTGCAAAACGCCCCCAGACGCCTTTCTGAAACTCGGGGAAGTCGAGCACTCTGCCCAGGCAGGAGGAGCTGGTCAAATGGGCAACGCTGGAGCCGTAAGAGATCCTGGAGAGACTGCCTCGACACCGGGCGACGACTGTGATGACTCTACATCTGGACGAAGATCGCAGATAGGCGGCCCGAATCCGAAAGGTCTTCTCGTCATCCGCGGCCTTGCACTTCAAACTTCAGGCGCACGCCAGAACGAGCCTGGTGGGCCACGGAGCTCTGCAAGAGAGGAAGGAAGAGGCGGCAGGTTGAGCTAGGGCTAGGGGGGCTTTGGCGGCCAGGGCTTAGGCGCCGAGTTCTCACAGCACCTGTGTAGTAACTTTGCACCAGGATGTCATTTTCCTGGAGTCCCCTTGAAGGTCAACGGGGCAGGCCACAATTGAGGCCTCCTCGGTCTCGGTCACCACAGACTCAGAGTCTGTCCGTTTGGGCACGCGGCCTTCAGGCGAGGTTCCGAGCCACGGGTCCCGTGCAGGTCCATGCAAACGACTTCAGCAAAGGCGCTGGTAATCGTGAAAAGAGCAACGGGGGCAGCACGGGCGGATGCGGGCGGCGGCCTGCACGAGCGGGTCGTGGGGGCCTACTTTGGACTCTTCTGAGATGCAGGCCGTGTCGATTTCGACACAAGGAGAAAGCGTTAAAAACCTAGAAGGCACACAGCTCTTCAGGTTTAGGGCAAACAAGTTCCAAGCACCCTTGCAAGCAAAGCAAGCTCACAAAACACTCGGACAGTTCACACTTTTAGCACGCACAGCTCACTGCTGGTCTCACGTGTCTTGAGCCAAACGACAGTAGTCGTGGCACCTCTTAAAAGCTCCCAAGCACTACACAACAAGGGAAAACAGGTTGAGGCTACCGCAAAACCGTCAGGCAAGCTCAAACTACGTTCTACAGGCACTGACCACCTGAACTAGCAAAACTATACAGGAAAACAAAGCTGGTACCGAGGAAAACTCTGTGTCGCACCTACAAACACTACTGGGCAGAGCACTGGTTTTCTACACCCCCCACGACGCACAAGCTGTCGGAGGTACCAGGTGGAGATCCCTTAAACAGTACTCGCACGCCACTTTAGTAGCGATGCGATTCGGAATCGCGTTCCTGAGGCCGTGGCAGTCCCTACGCCCTACGCACGTGGAAACAGTCTCCGTAAGCAGAAGTAAAGACGGCCATCTTCTGGCCCGACCTTGGCAGAAACGTAAGAAGGTCCTGCACAGTCTTGACGCAGGAGCTCTCGGCACGTAGCTTCTGTAAGCACACTCCAAGCGCAACACCCACGAGCAGTGGGGCAAGCACAACAACGAGAAGCCCGACACTCGGTACTTCGAGCAACTTCTCTTGCACTTCCACAACCAGGCCAAACACCATGACACGCTCGGCAGCGAAAGGAACCAGAGACATCTTAAACGTCCTGGTAAAGAAAGAAAACACCGGAAAGTTTGAGCAAACCGGCTGCGCAGCAAACATGTAGCAACATGTTGAAAAGACTCTCGTAAAAAGTCAAGAGCGCAACGCTTCAAAGAAGGACCTTACAAGCTCTACCGGGTAGTGCTGCGTACTTTTGAGGTCGAAGTCCTTCGAGTGCTCATGCTTCCCAGAGCAACGATAGACACGAATGCTCTCAGCAACTGCTGGGTGTGTGGTAACGACACGCCACCGCTTGGCGATAAGAAGATGATCGCGGCCACGCATGCCAAGCGCACAACCGTCAACTGGAACATCATGCAAGACATAGGGGCGTGAAGAGAGAAAGTGCTCCGTCTGGCGCCAAGACCAGTAGGCACACGCACGCGGCCACTCAATGGCCCAAGCATCCACGAAGCAACTATAACTAAGCTCGACCAGGCTTTTCCAGAGCTTCCTGTGCAGCCTCCAACGCTGCGCCAACCGCCCACGGCGATAAGCAGGATCGCGGGCACGCAGTCTCTGGTATGGGCATCCTCCGGTACACGGTGTACTTGCCCACAAGAAGACAAAACCCTTCTTCCTGATCTGTGCAGCACAGATGGCTTTAAGCTCAAGCAAGGTCTGCGCTCTGGCACCATCATCACGCTCACTCACAGTCAGCACATTCACCCAGTTAAGGTCCTGACTAGCCGCTTTCATCGACGACTCAACAGGGGCGCAGAACTCAATCACCAACCAAGATGCAGGCGGCATGGCAGCAAAACGGTCACGCAAGCTAACATGGCTCTTGCCAACAAGCATTGCACCGCACAACGCAACAAAGCCATCAAGCACGCAAGCAATACTGGCAACGTCACGCAAGCCAAGTCCCCACATATGCTTCAAGGTAACAACCCAACTCAAAGGTTTGGTGAACAAATCTGCAACATTGGCTTCACCACGCACGCCAAAGATAAAAATCTGCTTCTGCTTGAGCTGGTCTTGGATAAAGCTTTTGACTTTTGACTTTGATGCGCAATCGCTCGAGAGCGATTAAGCGAAGGTGAAGAAACGGATGCACTTTTCCACTACACTTTGGGCCTCGCGATCAACCGTGCAAACGGAATCACACATGTACTCATGCCATGCGGAAAACGTTCAAAAGCACTACGCTAAGGTAGGGTAAAACAGGGTACGTTGGGGCAAAACAAAGTTCATCACCCCGCCCGATAGACCATGTACTCCGACATTGGTCAATCGCTTGAACTTCTGTGGCCAACAGGACTGCTTGCGCGCTAGCCAAAACAATCCAAACAACGACGCACACTCCTAGGTGCTTTACCACGTACGTGGCCACAGGTACCCTTGTGAAAGCAAACTCCACGTGTCGTTACGAACACTTCTTCCGGCACCTGTGCAACTAAGGCCGCTGGGTTTTCCAGAACTCTACCTCCATGGGCCACTAAAGGACCCTCATGTGGCCTCGAATGGACCACAACGCATTGGGCTCTCAGTTTTCTGTTCTCATTCCACAGAGCACCGCATGTGATCATCAATGCCAAGCTCGCGTACTGCTCAGCACTCACCCCCTGCATGAAGCCGATAAGCATAAAGGCAAATGCAAAGCACTGCATAACATAGCCATTCACATCCAAAGCTTGCGGTGCATACTGAAAATCAATGCTCAATCGCAAAGTCGAAAAGTCGTTCAGGCCCAAGGCCCGTGCAGCGAAAAGCGCCACCAAAAGAATCATGCAAAGTGGAAACATGTAGCTCGCATATCCCACACTCACCGTAGGGGTAGAAAGCTTTGTCGCATCAGTCAACAGCGGCATCAAGTTGCACATGACCATGAAGATGTTCGAATGGAGCTTTGTGGAAGTATTCACGCTCTTCTTCACTCTCTTAATCTGCGCCTTCACGCACTCTTGCTGTTGCATCTGCTCATATTCGAACTTTCCGATTCTCTCATCACTCGAAGCATCAATGAAGTTGTGCATGTACATCAATGCGCGCAATCTGGCCTTTGCCAGAGCCTTGGTCCCGATGTCACCAAGGTTGTACGCCGAGCTCACCGGCATCACTTTATTTGTAGGAACCAGCAAAGCGACTGGCAAGAGAAACGTAACAGGAAAACATATAAATCGCGAATCAAATATCTTTCCAATATAAATCAATCGAGGCTTCGGACTGAGGACTCACAATTTTTTTTCCGGATGTCCAGATCGCGCCGTAACAGCGAGCCGAGACCGGATCCCCATTCGGGGGCCGGCCTCCACCCATAGCTCAAACGAACATCCCACCGGCGCAAGGTAAAGTTCCAGGGTGGGACGGGCGGGACTAAAACTTCTAAGCTCCCTCCTCTGGAGCCTCTATTTCACGGATATAACCGAGTCAGTCATCAGAGACAAAAAGTCGTGCAAGTCAACATGCGAAAGACCTACAGCAAATCACATGAAAGAAGCGTGCGGAAAATCGGAAAAGAAATCGTATTGATAAAATCACTTAGATTTTCTTTTGGGGCCCACCCTCCTCCCCTTTGCATCCTACAAACCCCTTTGGGCAAGCCCAAGAAGCTTTGTAGGAACCAGCAAAGCGACTGGCAAGAGAAACGTAACAGGAAAACATATAAATCGCGAATCAAATATCTTTCCAATATAAATCAATCGAGGCTTCGGACTGAGGACTCACAATTTTTTTTCCGGATGTCCAGATCGCGCCGTAACAGCGAGCCGAGACCGGATCCCCATTCGGGGGCCGGCCTCCACCCACCATCGCGAGGCTCGCTTTACCACTTCGTCTTAGTGGCCAGCTTCTGCTTCTTTGTCAAAGGTGCTGGAGGGGCACTTCCTTCTCCCCCTTTTCGCCATTCAAGCATTTCAGAGTGAAAACTTGCCAAATCAAGAAGGAGCTTGCACGGAACATCAGAAAACTTTGCATCAATCCGAAGAGCTAAATCGAAGGCACTGAACCGTTCATTCGTTAAGTCGTCCGCCTCAGTGTTGAGTTCACGCGGTCGCCAGTTCAAGTTCATATGGCCTCCGCAGCGGAACAGATCGTACTCCAGCTGCATATAGACATACGTCAATGGGAATTTCGTGGTTCCTTGACGGCGCATGACCAGCTCATTTGCCAGATTGTCCGTCCCAGCAGAAACCGTGAAACTCTGCCCAGCCACATCCAGCCATCCGAATAAGTGCAGCCCCAGCCACGTAGCAAGAAGCTCGGCGACAGTGCTCATTCCTTTCGCGGTCCCTTGTGCATTAAACAAGAAAGGATAATCAGCAGCAGAGACACGGACAGAAAACCAACGGCACTTCTTTGGCTCAAAGCTGTGCAGCGTTTCCCATCCACCCAGCACGAAGAAATCATCCTCTGCTTTCGCATCCGTGCGAAAGGCTTCGCGAAGCATCAAAGGTGGGGACTTACAGCAGACAAGATAATGCTTCTCTTGCAGCAACGTCAAGATGTAGCGAAGAACCACCATCACCATACGGGGAACCAGAGCCACGGTTCCAGGAGTGATAGCAGCCTTCCAGCGGTGAAGTGGCCCCATAAACGGCCGGAGCCAATATAGGACTTGTCCAGCGTAGACTAATCGCCCCACAAACTCAGTGAAGCGCCGATGCTCAATCATACCTCGGCCCCTCTGCAGATCCGTGATGAACTCGATGAGCCAGTTTGCCCGACGCTCAGACAGTCCCACTTTGAACCGAAAGTAATCAAAGTAGAAACCAATAATCCAGGCAAACTCCCCCGCGAAACTTAGACCACTTAAAAGGAGTGCCAACCATAAGCCAGTAGAGGAGCACCACCCAAAGGTCGTGGTACTTCTGCTCTCCACCCGCCATGATCTGCAGGTCATCTGCAAAGAGCATCTGGAAGATCGAGGCCTGCAGCGCGATGCGAAGGGCTCCACGGCCTATCAGCCCAGCCAATCTGGCGAAGTGGTAAGCAGCGCAGGCCACACCGAACGTCCCCACCCGGTTGATCCAGATCGGACCGTCCGGCCTAGCCCGGCACCCTAGGTAACCATGATCTTCAGGTGCATGCTTGTATCTTCGATGTGCCTTTGCAATGTCCGCAGCGATTCCGATCAGGAGTCGATGGCCATCCTCCTGCTGGATCTCCATTGCCCTCGCTGCATTCGAAGGCGTAGGGAATTCCAGTTTATCAGAAATCTTAATCATGTTGTTCAGCTTAACGGAGTGGGTGCCGTCAAAGAGGGCTCGCACCGAGCCATCATCTTTTATGATGGCACCGAGACTTGCCACTCGCAGCGTCTCCCCAAACCGCCGCCGCGCCTCCTTCTCAGACAATGGGTACATGAATCCAAGAGCCTCCTCTTCCTCGAACTGTTTCTCCAGCTGCTCAGGCACGGCCTTGGCCGAAGAATAGTTCTCGTTGATTGCTTGAAACTCAGACTCATCATACTCTCGCCACTTCCCCTTTGGCCTGAAGACTGCCACCACGCGAGGAAAGGGTCGATCCACTCCCAATCTCCGCCCACGAGCATAGTTGTCCTCTGCACGAGTGAGAACCTCCCAGTCTTCATCTCCCATAGCCCGACAAGTCTGCGAGAGCGCCTCCAAGAAGAACGGTTGCCCGGGCTCCTGGAGAGCGGCCGCTGAAGGATCTTCTAGCAGAGCGAACCAAGACCTACGTAGACGATCCATGGCCTGAACCGAGAAAGGTGCTTCCTCATACTTGCCCAGAGCCAACATGAAATATGCCCGCTGTGGGTCCACTATCTCTGTCCTGATGAAGTCATCAAGAAGGCTCCGAAGAGCATTCACGAACTCGTCGGCCCCTTTGGAGAGCCCCCTTCCCCGAGCGGTAGGGCGCCAGCGACCCGGACTGTTAAGCCCACAACCATCAACGAAGGAGTGGACTTTGCCTCGCCACTGAACGGTGATCGGATCGCCGAAGTTGTCTTTGCGAGCCTGGACCAAGTGTCCATGGAAGGTGTCACCCTCCTCTCCAGCTTTTTGCTCGAGTAGACGGACTGACGGCGTGATTCCGCCCGATACAGCTTCATCTGTCTGCGACACATCCTGCAGTCCCGAGAGCCTTTTCCAGGTGGTCTTCAAGGAGCGGCTAGCCTTAGTAGGTTCCCGGATCGAGAACCCAATGATCACAGTACGCACGCCTTTCCACGACATCGTAGCATGGAGTCGCCGAGGATCCAGCAGTTGGGGACCCGTGGCCACCGGCAGAATTTTGCCCCAGCGTTGCTCGCCTTCGTACTCCATGGGTTCGCATCCGTCATCCACTTCCTGCCAGACCCCTCCGCCCTTGAATCGGGAGGCCGGGACCAGGAGGTTCCAAGTGTTGGCACCATTCTGGCTGTCGCAATGTGGAAGCACTTGGCGGTTCCTCGACACCACCACCGAAGTAAAGGTGTATCCTGGAAGTGCAGCACGAAGGATCCCACAAAGAAGTGCCGTAACCCAGGGATGACTGGACACGTGCGTGCGAAGCCCAATGACCCCGCCATGCTGAAAGAAGCCACTCATGAAAGTCTTAGAGGTCAGGTCCCCAGCCGTAGCGCGGACCTCGGGGTCCGACGGAAGAAGACCACAGAGCCTTTCGAAGTCCTCCACAGTGACCCTGCCCTTCTTGAGGAGCCGAGCCGCGAAGCTTTCAGCATCCGAAGTTTGGCCTGCCGGAGGCCAAGATCCCGCTGGTAGCTCCAGACGCAAGGACGAGAGCTCGAAAACATCTTTCGGACCCTCCTCGTCCGAGGAGGCATCAGAATCCCAAGTGGCCTGCTCCAACGGCCTGCGCCCAAAAGTAGATGCGTCCCCAGAATCCCAAGTGGCCTGCTCCAACGGCCTGCGCCCAAAAGTAGATGCGTCCCCAGCCCCCTCAACGCGACAGAGACGCAGCATGCTTTTGGAGAGCCAGGTGCACATCAGCAGTGGATAAGTTGCCGAGGCGGTGGACCAATCACCCGCGGCATCCTTCCCCAGTAATGAGCGGTCGTGACGATGACCACAAGAGGGTGGAAGAGGACCGCGATAGCGTCCCTCCGCCGCAAGCTGCGGCGGCCCAGAGAACAGTGCAGCTTCGCACCAATCGAGACGGCTCCATAAAAGGCGAGTGGGCTTACTCGAAGGTGCTCCCATTGACACTGAAAGAAGGCCGCCGTCTGCACCCCATCCAGAAGTAGAAGCTGCTTGAACTCATCAAAGTCCCAGACTGAAGCAGGAACGAAGTCGTTAACCGCGCCCAGTTGTTCCGGGTGCTCAAAAAGGAATGACTTACAAAGCTCAAGGCGAATGAAACAAATTTCGAAGCACTTCAGCACCCCGAAATTAGCCTCCTCGACCGTGGAACGATCTTTACCCGACAGCCAAGGAAACCCGAAACATACTGTAGAGAGCGAAGCGGCCTTGGTCCACCGGCGGTGCGCCAATGAGCTTTGGCTCTGCTGAAGGTGCTGACCCCTGGGACCAGCAAGACCACGGAAGCTTCCTGTATCAACAGTTGCAATTCCGCACTGAAACCCGATCCAGTGTCGCTCTTGAGAGAGGTTCCCATAAGATCAACTTCCAGACCATACAAACGAATTCCAAGTGATTTGGCTTCTCGCTGCAAGCATTCCCGGACATTGGAATGACGGCGACCGCCTGAGTAAAAATGCAGAAAGTGAAAGACTCTGTCCGATTCGACCGGCTCCAAATCCCAGCACTCCCAGGCAGATGAAACGGCCACATCCGTGGCTAGTCAGTTTGTCTGATGGTCCTCTGCACCACCCTTCTCTTTCTGCAGTTTGCAGCTTTTACGAGGGTGAGGCTTCAAGCACAACTGACAGACGTGCACTCGACCGCAATCGCCCTTGCACGAACCATTGTTGTAAGCATAGCAGATCTGTCGCCCATCCGGCGTGCTGCTGGACACGAACCCTCTGGCCGAAGGATAGCCGATACGGAGGCTGTTTTTACCCCCTTTGCCGCGGCCCTTGCCACCCTTGCCCTTTGCACTCCCTTCAGCACCTGGTACATGGTCTTGAAGCCGAGGCCACTTTGCTGGCGGAGGCGGGGCCGTGGACGAAGACCCCCGACTAGCTAGCTCCAGCGCCAACGGACCCACAAAGTAGGTCTCCTTCAGCGCAGCATCCGTTCTGACCTCTGCCAGTGTTGTTGAAATGTCCCGATTGTCCCTGCAAGCTCGCTTGTATGCTTCTTTACGGAGACGATGCTCAAAGCTCAACAAGAGAGTCCAAGAGGGATTGACAGACTGCGTGCCCGAAGATCCGTCAGGCCGAGACATTTGAAGAAGAAAGATCTTATCACCCAACACATAGTCAATGTGCTTTGTGAAGTCCTGCACCCGGAGGTCCACAAACCAAGGCTTGGTGCGGAACCTAGCAGCCAGCATAAGAAAGGTATGACACTCAAGACGAAGCCGCTGACGAAGCTCCTCCGATGTGGCGGGAAGCTTAGCCTTCTTGCGCTCCTTCACAAGCCGTAGCCGGCCAGAGGAGTCCACTGAGGATTGGAACTGAGCATTGACCTCATCCGAAACGCTGGTCACCTCATCAAGCACAGCCGCGCGGAGCTCCCCAGCCTCGACTTCCTCTAACTTCAATGCAAGGTACGTGGAACTAGGCTCATCTTTCTCTTCCAAAGCGCCTACAACTCTCTCCAGAGCATGACGCATGCCCATCCGATCATTCGATGGGAGCGGCTTTGGGAGACCGAGTACGTGAGCCTCGGCCTTCAGCCGACGCTCTTGATCTGCCATGTCGTAGCAGCTCTGCCATGCTGCTACCAGACCTGCCACTGCCGCCCTTCCGTCAGCATTATCAGCGACAGTCACCTCAGCCCGCAGCGCGGTCCGCGCATCCGCTCTCGTATCGGCAATGGAAGAAAACAGGGCAACACTGCGGTAGCGCTCGCCGAGCTCGCGCTGATGCAGCAAACTTACGCCCATTTCCTCCCATACATAGACAAGATCGGCACTGACATGCTGGGCCACATATGCCCGACGTGCCGCATCATCGGCCATGCCCTACGGTGCCCCTCCTAAGGCACCCGTCCTTCCGGCTCTGGTCTTTCAGCCGCAAATCTGACTTCCGAAGTTGCTTCCAAGTGCTCACAAGACATGCGTACTGAGAGCTCAAATGCAAATTGAAGACATGATTCGTGCACCGAACAAACGCACTGTTTAGGCCCCCGCAGAGTCACTCTTCCTGAGACGCATGCTCAGGCTCTTCCACCTCGGTGCTTGAAGAGGATCCCGAGGATGAATCTTCCTGAGAGGCCGCAGCCTCTTCAACTGAGACCTTCTTCCAACAAGTCTTACACCACGCATCAGCATTGGCAGAATCGACACTTCTGAAACCTTCCGCACGAAAGACACTCCAAGGCATGATTCCGCATTTGTCCTTGGCGTGAAGCCGTCGAAACTGACTACGCCTCGAAATGGAGACCCAGTAAGGAAAGCTCGAAACATCTCGGTCTAACCCATCTTCATCTTCCACAGTTACCTCCAGGGCCGCCTCCACGTCCAGCCCCTCGGTGATATGCTCATAATCAAGTGGAAACCCCAGTAACAAGCCACGATGTCCAGAGTCATTCGTCCGCCACACACGGTGTCGGGCTGCCCCTCTGGCAAAGCTGACCCCGCGTGCGTTTGCAAATTCCTGCAACTCGTTCAGTAGTGGACGCTCATCAACACCGGAGTGGCCCACTGCCGCACCTTCCACGACCTGCATCTGCACACGATGCACCACCTCCCGTGAGGTGATTGCTCTCATGCGCTCCAGCTTGCCACCTTCCCAAGAAGTCTCTATCTGGCTTTGGAACCCGAAGCGTGGCCGCCCAGGAAGGCAACAGCTCTTGAGGCAGCAAGCTCATGGAACCTTTGACCCATGCATGTTCGCCCCGCTGCGGCACAGACAGCTCTGCAAGTACCCGCTTGATGCACACATTCAGCATCTCGGGCGACATATGCTTCTTGACCCCATAAGTCCAGTCTGCTGAAGGAAAAGGAAGAAAATACATGCGCTCCCAGAAAACCTCCGGCTGCCTGAACAGGGCAAAACCCACTTGCAACCAATCATTCCCTGAGAGCGAGACCTCGCGGCGCACGTAGACTGGCACCTCCCGAGCCCTGCGACCAGGACCCGTGGTCTTGGTCCGTCTAAGTACTCCTGAGAGGCCGCTATCGGTAAGCGTCATACGCCCAGGATCCAACCACTGCACATCGTCAGCCCTCATTGCAGTCCAGTGTTGCAATGAAATCACCCAAGCAATGATTCGAGAAAATAAAGAAGCATCCTCATCCAGAACATGAATTTCTAAAGCAAGAAGCATGGCTGTCGTGTATAGCTTTGCGGGGCGGCGAGGGGCCGCCCGACTCTGCAGCTCCTCGGTAATGGACTGTGCCACGGCCTTGACTGTCTCATCAGAGGAGAACCTGTCCCTCATGTGGACCCTGCCCACAGACTCCAGCACAGATAAAGCAGCCAGAAGATCCCCAGGCACACTGAACCCACATCCATCCTTCGAACGTTCCTCCAGATAATCTGTAACATCTGAAACGCGTGATGGCCAGGTCAAACCTCTGACTGTCTCCAACCACATACGAAAATGCTTAAAGGATCTTGCACGATTCCTCAAGGTCTTGGCTCTCCGGGCTCCGAACACCCTGCGCCAGGCTTGTCGACGATCTTCTGAACCTTCAATCAAGGCGACAACGGGCAACTGGGCATCAATGATGTAAACACTGAGTACTTCCACCCACCGCTCGCGCTCCCTGGACTCAAGAATGTCAGGATCCTCTTCCACAGCAAGCAAAGACTTGCCCAAGCCAGATTTCCCATGCTTTCGTATAAAAGGGACCAGTGCATTTGCGGCAACTGCAAAAGTCTCTTGTGCTCTCGAAGAATCAGATTGGTACACTGGCAGACGAGGCTTCTTGAACCCCGCATTCACTTGTGATTGTGCAATTTTCCGCTTGACAACCAGCTGATTACGTAGTGCTTGCAGCCGTCCCCGCAGCAAAGCCGTCTGCAGGATATCATTACCAGAAATGACTCCAAGAACATCCTCGAAGCCTTCTGGACTTTCAAGCAGCTCTAGGGCAACCAACGGTTGTGGGTACTTCAAACGCAAGCGCTCTGTCCATTCGGCAGGGAATACATTCCAGCAGGCCTGACCTTTGCCGGCTTCCGCAGAAGCTGTGGCCATGGTGCTAGCCCATGGTCGCGCCCCACCGACTAAAACTTCTAAGCTCCCTCCTCTGGAGCCTCTATTTCACGGATATAACCGAGTCAGTCATCAGAGACAAAAAGTCGTGCAAATCAACATGCGAAAGACCTACAGCAAATCACATGAAAGAAGCGTGCGGGAAATCGGAAAAGAAATCGTATTGATAAAATCACTTAGATTTTCTTTTGGGGCCCACCCTCCTCCCCTTTGCATCCTACAAACCCCTTTGGGCAAGCCCAAGAAGCAAGACCTGACGCTTCACATAATCCTGAACCCATAACAATCTGCCCGCAATGTGCTTCGCCTGCTTTGCCGCACCTTGGCGCTTAGCCAATGCCCTAGCAGATTGATTGTCAAGCAACACGTGCATCACTGAAGATTGGCCTGAGATGAACTCCCAGACCTCCCGAATGAATAATGCATCGCAGCATCCGGACACACAGGCATACTACTCGCTCTCCATCGAGGAGAGGGACACCGATCGCTGAGTCCTTGTGGCAAAGTAAACCACCGCACCATTGATGCAATGGGTGGCTGATCCGATTGATTTCCGATCGGCTGCCGCTCCAATCGGCATCCGTGAAGCACTCCACCAGATCACTGCCTGCGCTGACACATCCATGCAACATAGAGGTCCCAGGCTCCCCGGGTTCAAGATGCAATGCATATGAGGATGTGGCCAGCATGTACTGGGTCAATCGAATTGCAGCACGCCATGCCAAAGCAGTCGGACGTGTCATCACAGCAGAGAGCTTTCTGACGCTGTGTGCAATGTCTGGCCTGTCGGCCGAAATATAAAGCGCAATCCCGATCACTGATCTGTACTTGGATGCTTGCTGCTCGGACAACACCTGTAACGTGTCATGCCCACTGAACTCTGCAAGGTCTGGGGTTTGAGCCGTTCCACCACGAATTTCAAGGATCTTTGCCATGCTTCTCGCATACTGATCAGATCGCAATCTTCACGCCGGTCTCAGTCAGCGTATGCACTCATTTGAGGAAGCTGATTTGATCACCGACGCGGTACGCAATCTCCACTGTAGCCTGGAATCGTGATTTTATCAGCGGTACCAGAGTATCATGCAACCATGTCAAAGGACATAGAACCAAATTATCATCCACGTGTAGCATCAAAGGCCCTTCCCTTAGTTTTCATCACCGCTGGACTCACCGTACACGTCTCCAGGGTAAGACCTTCATGAAGGAAGTTGACATAAAAGTCAAACCAGCTGCGCACCGTCCCGCTGACCAGGGATACAACGCAGGAACATGTACCGACCACTACCGGAATAATCCCGAGGTAAATCTGCCAACACCGGTTCCACCTGCGGCACCTCTAAGTACGCATCCTTAATGTCGATGGCAGCCAGCGCAAAGACGGTGCCAGGGCGCGTCATGCGCCACATGAGAAACAAAAGAGGGATCAGTCGAACCACCGAATTCGAAGTGGATGGCGAAAAGATATTCACGCGTGGCCTCAGCCACCTATACTCTCGAGCTTTAACCGTGATCTTCTCAACCACATTGCCTTGCCACCTTTGCGTTTCCTACGCCAACTGCACACCATTTTGGTGCTCAATCGTTTCATGCCCTGGGTCTCTTCCGCCGCGGACCGGCCGAATCACTTGCTCTGGGACAATCTTGAAATCTCAACCTCATCGGCTATGCTGTCAATCTTGCCAAGCTCAAAAAATCACTAAGCTTCAGCGGTCCGGTCCCATCGTCCGGGTACCACAACAGCTCCTGTAGCTGCTCATAATCGCTCAGAGGGCGCAGCATCGTCTCAGAAGTGCGAAGCATCTCGACATCGATCTGCCTAAGGGCCGGATTCCGCCGGCGACCACAGAGTTCTCAGCCAATATACCATCTGCTGCGCCTTCGCTTGGTGCGTCTGTGGCGCCACGCCCATTTCGACGCGTGGGACACGAGGGCCAAGGTTCTCATCCATCACTTGGTGGCCCAAGAGATGAACGATTAGACCCTGCCCGACGAACACCGCGCATGTTTCGGCTAGGAGACCCATGGGGCCAGGAACGCTGGAGAGACGAAGCGGAGGCCTTCATTGAACGGGGTGGAATCGGCCCAGGCATTCAAATCCCGTTCATCTCTACTGAGCTGATGCCGCATCTCCATGAGCCGGATCAAGATTCACACCGATATGGTTTTTACCGTCTATAGGAGCTGTATGAGCAGCGCAAATTTCCAAATGTTGTACCTGTTGCGCGAATCCCACTTTCCGACCAGCGGCAACGACATGCAGCGCCTGCTGGATTCTTGGCCGGAGCCTTTGACACTGGATCGTACCCAGTGACGGAGGCCGCATTCCAGAAGACTTGAGCCATCTATGACCAGCGACATACGTCGTAGGGTCCATTTCCTGGCTCTTGCCGCTGGTTGTGGATTCGACCGTGGACTTATGGACTTTGTGTGCACGATCGCGACACAACAGGACCCCAGGGCTGACGTCTCGGCGGACGAAGGCGCGCGTCACGCATATTTGGATCCCTGAGCTCCCTGTGTGAGCACCAGCCATGAAGGACACAACAGACAAATGGTCAAGACAACCATGCAAGGCCACATGCTAGCTTAGTGGAGCTTGCGCCTTTTCGGAGAGCCATGCTGAACTAGGAGTTGACGGAGATGGTCGTGAGCTGTCTGGCGCCTCCCCTGGGGTTCGAGCTGGACCCTCGGAAGGATGACGAGGTGGACCAAGCCGTTGCCAACGCAGCGCTGGACATCTTCAAAGCTTTCATCAAGCCGGATCGTGCGGAGCACATCGAGATCCTTTTCATGCTTAGCTTCTGGAGAGACTGGGGCCGAAGCCGCCCGAGACATTGCACGCCTCGCCGCGGCACAGAGGAGCGACCGAGCTCCTCCGGGGCTACATGAGATGGGTGCGAGGCAGGTTGCGGACTACATGATGGAGCTGTGGGGGCCCGCGGGCCATGGCGTTGCCTCCGACATCTTCGGCACCAAGATGCTTGTGGCGTGGCAGGTGCTCGGCGGGAGCCGCTTCTGTGAAAACACAGCAGCAGCGCGCTGAACCCTCTTTTTCTCACGGCTTGAGCCAAAGTCAGCAGCCGGAGGCTTTGTCTGTGCAACTGGCCACAGATATTCCATGTGCCATAGCACTGCAAGTGAAACACTGCTCAGCCACGTGTTCTCCACAACTGCAAAACAAACTCAAACGTCAGTGGGAGTTCTCGGGACCTACTCAAAACTAGCGCAAGCAGAACTACAGCTACACAGTCACTCCAAACGGTTACACCAAGGAAAAACACTTCCCTACACTCTCAAGCACTTCAAAAGGCTTTCCACTGAAAGCAAGCTCGTCAGTCAAGCCTCCAAGGCAAAACTTTCAGCTAAAACGACTCACACCTGAGCAGGCATGCAGGACAACCAAAGTAACATGTCTTAAACATGAACTTTCACACCCCCGCTTGGACTGTAATGCCTCAGCGCAACAGTGTAAGCACAGCTCTTTAGGCTAAGTGCTCTGTTCGTCATCCTCGGCACACGTCCGCACGGCAGTCCCTCCTACGGCTACTTTCAAGACTCGCTTAGCAGCACGCAAAAGAGCCCTACCTAGCTTGGTGGGGTAGTAACCGGTTGCCCCAAGACTTTCAGGAGCAACATGCACATGATTCTTGTCACAAGATTTCCCGGAGAAGATTTCACACCACTCCGAACAGTTGCAGGCAAACCACCATCTCTTATAGACCAAATCAAAAGCACATCGGTCTACTTCTCGTCCAAAGGATAGGCCAAGGGACTTCTTCACTCTTTGGTACGTTTCTTCCTTCCAAAGTCCACAGGTCTTTGGCCACTCCTGAGTCAGCAGGACGTCCTGGCAGTGGTTCTGCAACAGCTTTCCTAGCGTTTTCCACGAAGCAACATGCTTCTTCATCTGCTCACGCCAGCGATGGCGAAACTTCGGTTTGTGCCAGTTCTTAAACCGAAAACTACAACCTGCAGTACACGGCGACGCTACATGGATATAGATCTTGGGCGGATTTCGTTTCAACAGACAGAGCAGAACTTCTCCTAAAAACAACTGTGTGTTCTTACTCAAGAAGTCTTCTTCCTGAGTGATGCCAATGTAAGCAACGCTCTCACGCTTGCACGCTGCACACAACGCACTATCACGGGCACAGAACAGCTCAACCACCAGCAAAGGAACAACCCCCATAGCCAAATCAACGGCTACTGGACGATACTTCAGTAAGTTCTCCGGAAGCTCTTCAAGCTTCTCGTGGAGGTTCTCAAGTTCCTCCACTCTCTCTCGAAGTTGTTCAGGTACACACAGTGTCTGCAAGTCTTCCTCACAGATCCGCTCAAGTCCACAAGCCTCCAGCAGATGCTGGAGCATAGCTTCTTCAGGACTCTTTGTGAGTCCGTCGCTCGGATTCAGGCATCCTTGGATGAATGTGAGACGCAGTCTCTCACTTTGAACAAGCTCTTGCAAGTACCGATGCCTCAACTCCAAATGCCGCACTCGACGCAGCAGGCCTTTCATCTTCGAAATAGACAATGCCGCTTCACTGTCAGACGACAGGTAAATGGGATACGATCCCGTGTCACCGGCAGGCAGGCCTTGAAGGAGCGTTTCCAACAGCAGGGACAGGTACACAGCTTCCTTGGCAGCTTCAGTAAGCGCGGCCAGCTCTGCTTCAGCTGAGCTTAAGGCAGTCACTGACTGCTTCCTTGAGAAGCACTTGATCATCATGCCATGCCAAAGGACAATGGCACCAGACACTGAACACACGTTCCACGAGGCATCCACATACCCCGAAAGCAAGGTCTCCGACTCAAAACTCTGGTCGACCCAGCCAAACGCAGAGAAGCGCTGAAGGTACTCAGGCAACGCCATCACCCAACGCACAACTCTTCTTAAACAGGCTTCGGCTTGGCTGTCAGGATCACTCTGAAAACGACCTAGAAACCCAACAGGATAAGCTAGGTGAGGAAGCGTGAGACTG